GCTGGCGTGGGGGGCGGGGGTGACAAACTTTATAAAAACCAGCAACCTACGAAAGTTTTGTTTGCAATCTTAAAAAAAAAGAGCACCTAGAGGTAGAATCTAAATGTTTATACATGAGCAAGTGTCGGCGAACCCATAAAAAGGATTGTGAAACTCCTTAATCGTACCCTGCACCATGTGGGTGTCAAATCAGACAGGCCACACGTTTCTGCAAATAGTTACATTTTAAACACTTTGCAGACTGTATACGGGGACCAGAAAAGCAGGAGGGTTGAACAAGGTCACTACAGAACTCAAGGAAGCACTCAAGCTGGCTCTTTCCAGTGAGATTGAAAAATCTATCAAAAGCAGAATTGATTCTTGATACTTGATCGCATCCTTCCAGGCATCCCGTGTTGGGCATTACCAGAGATTATGGTGTGTGTGTGTGGGGGGGGGACACCTCCATTAAGTAAAGGTGTCTGAATTTCGTTGTTTTTACTTAAGAGGGAACTGAAATATAGGTAAGTTTGAAACTTGCTGCAGCTCCAAAAAATACATAGCTGGGGTGCTGGAGGGCCTTGAGTATTTGAAATCCACAATACACATTCATTTTCCTTTAAGAGGAGGTCTCTTTTGGTTGATTTCTTTCTTTTCTTTTTAACTTCCTTTTCTGTCTTCCTTTGCTTGTTTGTTTCTTTCTTTTTAGTGCAACAATGCATTCACTAGAATATTAAATGAACTAGATACAAGCCCAGGTCTGCCACTCCCTGAATAAATAATTTTATACATCCCAATCCCTCATATGTAAAGTGCAAATATAAAGGTACCTGTGTCTCATATAGTCATTGGAGGATTATGGGTGGCAACTATAATTTAATACACACAGAACATTCATAACCAGACTTTAGAAACCTGTTACAACAGGCACCCAGAAGATTCTGTATAACAGCTATTATTGCCGATCTCTAATACATAGCAAAAGAGTGCCTGGGATGTAGCTCATATTTAACACTAAACCATCATCTTAATTATTATAAAAGTTCTGGAATGGGGCATTTAATATACATATTAATTTTTTCATTATCTTTGCATCATCTCTAGCAAAAATGGAATCATGACAAAGTACACTGTCACACAGTGACTGATAAATTGTTTAGGATTTACTTTTTCAAAATATACAATAAATTATTGGCTTGACAGTTGGAGAGTTCCTTCTAGTAAGTTTGACTGGAGGATGGATACATGAAATTTGACCTGAGGTCGTCAACTCTTCCTTTAAAAGGAAAGACAAAAAGCTTAAAACTTCCTAGAAATCTCAGGGTTTCGATTTACAAATACATAGATTTACATTGATAAAAATATTCATTATTCAATTTTTTTGCTTACTTTTTTTGTTTTTTGTTTTGTTTTGATTTTTCCCGAGAAAGGGTTTTTCTGTAGCTTTGGAGTCTGTCCTGGAACTAGCTCTTGTAGCCAGGCTGGCCTCGATTTCACAGAGATCCGCCTGCTTCTGCCACACGAGTGCTGGGATTAAAGGTGTGCACCCTCACCGCCAGCCCGGTCACATACAATTTTTTATATCAAGTAGTTGGCCTAATTAATTGTAATTTCTGTAATTTCAACTCAGGAAGTTGTAAAAAAATGGTTTGTAAATTTTCTTTTCTCGACTAAGAAAGGAAGAGATTTAGTTCTGTAATCTAATTTGCAGGCTTGAAAAAAATGCAAGCGCTAAATCAGTTTGGGATCTCAGTTTTGTGCTCTGCAGTTTCAAATGGCTGATACTTTAACCTGAAGCTGGGTAACTAGAACAATAGAAGGTGGAGAAAATTCTTGTTCTCTTTTTGGAAAGGCCAGACAGTTCCCTTAAGTGGATTCCCGCCTGCGAGTGGGCCCAGCGACCTCCACATTCTCACAGTAGTCCAGCCCGGCCCAGAGTTTTCTCAGCCTTTCGAATCACTCCACGAACTTCACCCCAAGTTCCCAAACAGAAAACAAATATCTTCTCTTTTCATAATTTAGCCTTTTTTTTTTTGAAAGTTGGAAAATGCAACACGCCATAAAGGGTCCCTTTACAGATTTTTTTCGTGCGGCTTGCGTTTTTTGCGGTTCGCGCTCATGCGGTCGCTTTAGCACCGCCACACTGAGAATTGTCACCAACCAACTAATATACTGGCTTCAGAAACGAAGCTCGGCCGGCCTCACCATGCAGCTTTTCTTTCTTTGGACGCACGAAGCGTCATTCCTGCCTGCCTTCCTTTTCCAAAGGTACAGGAAATAAACTCCCAGGTGCTTCCCAGCAGCGCGGCCTTGTTGCCCTAGCTCTGCCAACGGCTCAGGTCCCTCGCTACCTTCTTCCTTAGAACCGAAAAGCCCCTCTTCCTTCCACCTGGTGAAACTTGGCCACCTAGACATTTCTCTCCCAAGTGGTAACAACTGCTCGCTCACTCTTAGGCCACATCCAAGCGATATAATAAATGGATGAGGGAGGTAGAGGTGGCTAGCCAAGAACATCCTTGCTGTCCGCCGCCGTGGGGGTTTCGGCCCTGGGCTGCTTTCTCTCTGAAGCTGTGAGGGTGGGCGCTAGTCAGCAGTGTGCAGCACACACAAACCATGGGCCCTAGTCTAGAGTTTGCGGAGGTTAACTAGAAAGCAAGAGAAATCAGAAAAGGTCGGGAGGCCACTGAGCCTACCTCCGAGTGCCTCTAGCCCTGCCCCCCCAGGACCTACTGTCGCCTGCCACAGCCGCTCCGCATTCCCCGCGTCGCAGGTTGGAGATATTCCTTCGACTGCGCCCCTAAAAGTGTGGGGGCTATGCGGCCTGTCTCAGGTCGGTCGGTCAGAGGGATTACACGGGCCCTGGCCTGTGGGGTGCAAAACAGAACTGGAGAATCTGCACACAGGACCGATTAAAAGGGATCATGTTTCTCCCAAACAATCCAAACGCACGCTCGCGAGCACCCATAAGTTTTTTGCTCTCACTCGATTTAAATAAAGTCCTTGCTAGGCCAAAGTCAAAAGTGGAGCCGGCTTTAGCCAATCTGGGGGCATTGCAGGGACCGGCGGCTGATTTCCCACTTACTAGCTACTTCCCTCCCTGTTCCAGACAAACCAGGGCAGGAGACTGGTGAGTTTCGCCTGCCCCGGAAAAGAGCAGGGGGTGGGGGAGCCCTACCTGGCCCGCTCGAGCCTCTCGGAGAGCCCGCACGACCTCCGAGCACCCGCGGAGTAGCAGCGGCGGCGGAGCCTCAGGCGGCCACTGTGCCGGCCTCCGGCTCGTCCCTAGCTCCCGGCTCGGCGCCCCGGGCCCCCGCACTGGGCTCGTAGGCGCTGACTGGCCTGGAGGAGTCACGTGCAAGGGCGGGGGGCGGGGGTGCGCGGCAGTGGCTGCACCTCTGCCGGGCGTCCGCCAACCCGGCTTTCCCAAAGCTCTCCCAGCAGGCAAAGTCCACGCGCGCGGACCTCGGAGAACCAAAAGCGCTCAGTACCGGTGCCGACACCGGCCCACGGTCCTGTCCGACAACCTGGCGGTGCGCTGCTCCGCCAAGGATTGTTTTAGTCACTAGTTCCTCCTCTTTCCTCTCACCTTCAGTGCTCCACTTTCTGGGGGCAAGGGGCGGGGCTGGTAGATGGGAAGGTGACCCCGAGCGCTGGGCTCTTTCCTGGTTGCCCGTGGGGCCACTGGGTCACCCGGGGTGCCTGGCTGGCCTCAGATCTACCGTGCCCCTGAAATGCGTTCGAGAGAGCGTCAGGAGGTACTAAAACCCGAACTGTACCTTAAGGTCTGTGCCTAGAGACCCAAGAGTCCTTTTCACCTTCCCACCAGCCGGTGGAGACTGCAAGGCGCCGAGAACCCGCCACCAGCGCAGGAGTTTATGTATTTATACAAAACGCGTACCATACTGCTTCCAACTCCTTAGGCCTCCTGTCCCTTCTCATCTGTCCCTGTGCTCTCTTAGGCCCACCGCGACTGGGATCCAATCAAAAGAACGAGGAGGGGGTTGAGGAGCCTGTCTCCAAAGTTAAAACTCATCTAGGGGGCTATAGCTCCCCCCACCCCAGAGTGGGGGCAGGGAGGGTGTCAGACCAGAGTTTGGAGTCGGCGTCAGGGCCTGCAGGCCCTGGCGCAGCGGGGCGGTGAGGGGAGAGTCCCTCAGACAGGTCTAAAGGTTAATAGAGCAATCACAGGGCCCTATTACCGCGTAAAAATAACCCCATCGATTACCACAGCCTTCAGCCGCAGATAACAACTCGCTGGTGGCTCTCACGCTTTGGGTTAAACTAACTTTTTTTTAAGGCCGCATTTCTCTCCCCAGCACTGGTTTCTCATACAAGACTAGAGGAGCTAGAAGGGGGCTGGAATATACCACCCGTTAAGAAACCTGTTGCAGCCAGAGAGCTCCGGATGGCATCCGCTCCCGTCGTTGGAGATCAACAGCAGATTGCCAACGCGCCGGCCGGTGCACAGGCACCGCAGGAGTTAGGGACAGGTTGGGACGCTGAGCGGATTGAAAGGAAAAACCCGTGGGACCTTGGCCAACCCGTGGGGATCTCAGGAAAATCCCAGAGGAAGGACTGAGCGCGGCTGCGCTGGGGGAATTCTTTTCCAAACTCAAGGGGCCGAGGTCCACAGCGGCCATAGGGGAGGAGAGAAAACTGATGCTGTCAGGGTTCCTGAACTGCTGAAGTCCTGTTCTCTCTGGTCTGACTCACCGACATCGCCTGGGGTGCAGCCAGTTTGAGCCCTTTGACGCCCCGGAATCGGGGGTCCCATGACTAGGGTCTAGCGCCCCACCTCCCACCCCATTTTAAACAGTGTTTAGACAGAATCAGGCGCCACGGGTTCAAGGTCTGGTAGTTTTAGGGACGGTCTTCTGGGGGGATCTCAGAGGCCTTCGCTGGGCATCAGAGACCTCCCGGAGCAAACTCGGATTTGGGCTTCTCAGATGCGCGAAGAGAATGTTATGGCCCTTGCTTTATTTACAAGGAATCCTCCGTCACCCGGTGAGCAGGAGAGACGCGAAGCCAAAGGCCCACGGCCCACGGAAGAAAAGTCTCTCGTTCCTTCCCCCTCCGTCCCTCTTTCTCTCCCCCCTCCCCGTCTCCCACCTGTGTGCCATAGGTCTCAGATCTGCCTTTCTGTAGCAACCCTCATAGATCAAAATGTACTAAGATTGGGGACTAGGGCCAGCATTTCTGATTTTGTTTGTCACCACGAAGCCTGAGGTTTGAGGTTTAGTGTCTGAGGGAGCAACCAAGTGTCACTCCTCCGGGTCCCCAAGGTCTCTGGCCGCTGCCAGGGACATTCTCCCTGGTGTGTGGGATGGGCCTTAGCGAGGTGGTGTCCTAGCATTTTCATCACCCATAAACTAAGCTCCTAACGGTTTAGAAGGAGTGTGGCCGCGCTGGCGACGTAGCTCAGCTGGTAGACTGCTCAACCTAGCAGGCAGGAAGCCCTGTTTTTGCCTGGGGACAGTGGTGGCCCAAACCTTTAATCCCCCCCCCCCCCGTAACTCGGGAGGCAGAGGCAGGCGGATCTTTGAGTTTGAGGCTAGCCTGGTCTACAGAGCGAGCTCTAAGACTGCCAGGGCTACACAAAGAAACCCCGTCTTGAAAAACAAAATAAAATAAAAGGAGAATGCCCTCGAGTTAAGCTGGGGATATTGCTCCGTGTGATTGTTGAGAAACTCGAGTGGAGTCTCTAAGAGAGTCGCGTGATTCTCAGCTTTTGTTTGCTGCCAACTACAACCCGGGCTCTCCTAGGCCAATTTCCCTCCCAGGCCTCCAGCAGGCCCTCTCCTGCTGGGCTAAGAGCTGTGACAATTCTCCCAAAGCCTCAGACAATTCTCTGACTCTGCCAGGCGCCTGGGACGGAGACATTTGTTCCAGCTTCCTGTGACTTAACCCCCACACTTTGGGTCCCACACACCAAATCTCTCCCGGTGTGTGGGCTGAGTCTCAAACCAGACGTGTTTCTTGGGTGCTTTTGGTTTTGCTCCCGTTCCCTCCCTCCCTCTCTTTCCCTCCGACCCTTCAGTTGCTCCCTTCCTTTGCTGGAACCAGAGGAACCAAGGCGACCTCTATGCGTTGCCAGGAGCGGGGAGCATTTCAAGGCCTTGCTGGCTGGAGCTGGAAGGTGGTTATCGGCTGCCTCTAGAGGTTCCCAGGCTCCTCTCAGGCTAAGGAAGGCCGCTGGGAGGAGGGGGGCTGGGCACTCTAGGGTTCAGACTTGGCTATTTTTAAGGAAGACGTCCCTGGGATGGACAGGGGAAAGTGGCCCAACCTCTCTCCTGTCTCCTTTCCGCTTTCCTTTCTCAAGATTTCTGCCCTTTGGGCAGAAACGTTCCGGCTCACCTGCCACCTTTTAAATCTTTTTTGCTCATGGGGGAGGTGGAGTGTCTGAAGTTTTCCATAATAAGACGGGCTTAAGTGAGCTGTACTTTTCAATAATCCTTGCAGCACCAAAGAATGAATTTATTTCTTGCTCCTTGGAGGATCCTGAGACTGAAGCCCATCTGTGAACTAGCAGAAATGAAACTGTAGTCTGAGTTCGACCGTACGGAGGAATTGGGACTCGAATTCCCTCGAAGAAAACAAAAGAAACAGCAGATGTTGGACTTCACACAGAGACCAAGGGAGGTTTCCTTCCCAGAGCCCGGTACCAACGCGTGCCCCCTGAAAACCGTGTAGTTTGTTTTAAACCGTGGGCAACGTCGAACCGAGCGCCACAGTGCCAGCGTTTCTGGAGGCGGATGACTATTCGGCAGGAATCGACTCACGAGCCACGCAGTGAGCAAAAAACGAGTTCTGGAAAGAATCTGAAGCTTGGACAGTTTCCAGTGTCCTGTAATCGGAAACAGGAGCCAGAGGGAAGACTACAGAAGTCCACGTTGGCCCCATAGAACGCGCATCCCTGATGCAGATGTGCCCCTGAGTCAAAAGGCATTGGGTTCGTCCTGCAAAGAGACCCGCGCCAAACGAAAGCGGTGTGCTGCCTGACAGTGTCCTGGAATTCCCCAATTCCCCAGGGGGAGCCAGAGGCCACAGACACCATCTCCCATCCCTCTGTGACTGATGGCCCACAGCGCGAGATCCCCTGAACAAGCAGAAAAAGTGAGCAGCTGGGCGCACCCCATCCTGTTCAAGAAAGAATGAAGAACCAATTAACTATAAAGGCCGCGCCGGTGTAGCCCCCCCCTCCCACGCACGCACTCTTCCCCCAACCCTGGGCCTTCTACACATTCATACAAACCCCAGAACTAGCCCCACACCAAGGGTGGAATCTTGCCACCGGTCCACCCCAGGAAGAAATAACTCTTTAAGAACAGTCTCGCTTTTAAAGAATTGTTCAGTGTTGCAAGCCAAAGCCGCGCCTTTCTCACAGACCTCGGGAAATATTTCAGGTCTGGAGACCAGTCCGTGGCTCATTTTACAGTCACTTCGAAATTACAGATCACTCTCCTGTTTCATTTTTCTTTGGGAAAACAACACCGCCGAGCAAGGATGAGGAAGACGAAGTTACCCTCGTCATCTTTAAACCGGCCCAGAAAGATCGGGACTCAAATTCTAGGTGACTGAGTGTGTGTGAAGGCTGCAGGTCTCCAAACGAGAGTAACCGTCTTCCTTCTTAATATTTTCATAGCAGCCGTAAAATGCCCTCTATAACAGTCGTCTTACTTTTTTATTCTCTAAATTTCCGTTACTGCGCGTGTCTGATATTTAAAAATGCAAAATTTATTTAGAACGAAACCCGAAAAGTCTTGTGTAAATTTTTTTTTTGCTAAGTTTGTGAACGATGAATGAGGAGGACGCTCTTCAATTCGGAGTCCCAGTCTTGGCAAGGTCGCCAGCGGGTCTGGGAGCCTAGATCTGTCATCCCGAAATAGACTTGCTGATATCCCCCCCCTCCTTCCACAGACCCCCTTCTTCCGGCTTCCCTAAGGACTCCTTCACCCTTCCTTAGAGAAGGGTGGCCTTCGGGAAAGCGGAGGAGGAGCTGCAGACACCTGCTGGGTGCCCAGGAGTTCCCAGTAAGCACAGTCAGCTGAGACAACAGGCTCAGACTGCTGACTGTAAGGCCTGCCACCTCTTAGATACTTTTGGTGACCTGGTACCCCAATTCATTCACGCATGGTTATCTCCTTTCTTCCCATTTATATGGTTGAAGTCGCCCAGGGGTAGTATTATAACCAAAGACAGAACACCATTAATTCCGTATGGTGATATTAAATATATTTATTCAATTTATCCTTAGGTGTTTCTTTCCTGGGGTTAGAAATTCATTTGTCGGTATTTGTTGACAGACACCTTCACACCAGCACACCCTCCAGAAAGTAAGCTCCCTAAGGTGAAAACCAAGGCCAGTGCACAGTAGGTGTTCAATGAGTGTGGAATGGTTGAATTTGAAAACAAAAACAAAAACAGGGGAGAAGTTTGTTCATTTGTTTTGATTGAGGCAGAGTCCTGCTGTGTAGACCAGGCAGACCTTAAACTCAAAGAGCTGTCCCTCTCTGGCTTCGCTTTTTCTCCCTTAAAATTGTGTAGCCCAGGCAAGAGGGGCTGTTACTAGCATCTCTGGTGTTGCTGGGAGAACCCAAAGCTCTTTTTAAACGGGTTGGGTTTTGGGTGATGCACAGCCTTCTCACCCAGTCCCAGAAGAGGGACTCTGGGCCAAGGGGAGATCTGCAGAGTGGCTCATATCCCTAACTACAGATTGCCCACCAAAATCTAGGCTATTCCTCAGGAAACAAACAGTAGAAGCCCTGGGATGGATGTCTGGGTTAGACTGGATGCTGGAGTCAAGATTAACGGGAGAAGCTAGCTAGGCACCAAGGCAGCAGTGATAGACAGGGAGGTGGTAGCGATCCTAGAAAGGCAACCCGCCAAGGGAGCCTCTGTCATCTCAGAAGGCCCTCCATAAATTCTGGGGGAGCGGGGGACTGTCAGACACCAGGACAGGGGAAGAGACAGAAATGAAGCCGGCAGAGACAGGAATGGGGAAGGAAGGAAGACCTCAGGTGCAGTACCAAGGCTAGGAAAAGTCAAAAAGAGATAGGGTCCATTTCAGTCATTCGACCTGCATTTCTTGGGTACTGTTGTGTGGTACAGAACTTATAGGGGTGGAACTTGGTGCTGTCCTGGTCAGCTTCTTTCCGTAAAATAAAGACAAATGAAAAACACATCAATTAGGCAGAATGTCAAACGGCAGATACAGTGTGTGGGGGCTTAGGGTGGAAGCTTGGGACACACAACTAGGTGCTAAAGGAGCGGACCATCCCAGGACAAAACTCTACAGGACTGGTGAATCTTCAAACCCTACAGCTGTACACCAGCACTCCCCACCCAAGAACTCTAAACATAGGGGTAACCCTGGGAGTCCCCAAGGACCTGATGTTTGCAGCCCCAGCTTGGACCTGCTTCCGTATGGTAGCCTCCCCCTCACCCTAAGGTGGCCGGAAAGAACGCTGCCGACCCCAGCACCTTTCACCTCACCCTCGGAGCCAGAGGTGACTCCGAGCCAGAGAAGACGCCCAAGCAGGCGCCGCGTCGTGGCGGGCCTGGAGAGACAGGAAAGTGTCAAGGAAGCCCGAAGCCCAAGTGCAAAAACAGCCATCTGACTCAGGCCCAGTCCCAAGCTGGCTGGGGGCGGGGGTGAGCGAAAGAGGTTGTCGGTAAACGCCGTCCAGCCAGTGACCAACCATTCCCAGGCTGACCCTTTCTAGTCGAGGACCAGCAACAAAGCCACGTCCATCTACTTCCCACCACTGCGGCAGGTGCCCTCCGAGTGCCCGTTCCTTCCCCTCCCCGAGTCCAGTACCTCTCAGTTGGGAAACAGTCCGCACCTTTTTTCCACACAAAGAGGACACGGAGCCCGGAGTCTGGACGACTAGGGCAGTCACAACTCAGTAAGGCTAGTCTTACACCATGGGCCCTCACACAGCGCTCAGTGACTGGCTTCAACTTTTCCTTCCTTGGTTAAAGTCTGGGTTCTTCCCCAGAGATGCTAATGTATAACAAATTGCTAAGACACAAGGATTTGAAGGGAACCAAAAAGCAAAAAAAAAAAAAAAGAATTGATAGGTTTCTATGTGTGTGGGGGTGCTGACGGTGCCCCTAGAAAGGCGCCCAGCTCCAGGAAGCCACCTCTACTTTTCACTTCATTGAAAAGAGAGAAGGACCTTTCCTGGGGAGAGGGGCAGAATCCATATCTATCTCCCAGGAAGTATCCAGAGATACCCATTTCCTGATGCTACACTGCTTTCCAACCGGTGGGGCAGAGAAGTGCGGAACAGGTAAGGACTTTCTTAGGAGACCTTGAGGGCTCGACAAGGACAAGCAATAAGCACAGGACTAGTTTAATCCAAAATGGACTCCCCACCCTCCTCCACCGGCTACACTCTGTTAGGGACTAAGTCATACTGGTCCCTTCTTTTGCGGTTGTTTAGCAGCTCTACTGGCTGTCATTTACATTGGAGTAACAAGAGCTTTGTGAATAAACACATAATTTTTTTTTTCCTGTGTTGCCCCTGGCTGCTCTGAAACTTGTTCTGTAGACCAAGACAGCCTCAAACTCAGAGATCTGCCTGCCTCTGCCTCCCAAGTGCTGGGATTAAAGGCATGTGTCACCACTGCCTGGCAATTTTCTTTTTAATTTTAAAACAAAATCTTATGTGGTTCATGGAGGCCTCAAATTCGCTGTGTAGTTGAAGATAGAGGATGACCTTGAATTTTTGATCTTCCTGCCCTTACCTACAAGGTCCTAGAATTACAAGCATGAGCCACCACACCCAGTTTTATTCTGAGCTGGGTTTAAATCCAAAGTTTCACACATGCTAGGAAAACACTCCAATACTAGTTGAGCCACACGTCCAGCTTCTCAATGTTTTTTTTCACATACCAAAAACTATCCCTGATATCTTAAAAGCCTACAGGTTTGTTCATAATTCCTCCAAACTGAGACGCTCAGGTGAGAGATAAACTGTGTGCCCATCCGTGCAGCAGAGTAGAGTTCAGCCTCAAAAATGAATGAACTACTTCTACACCCAAGGACATGAAGAATCTAAAATGTGTTCAGTGCCATGGAAGAAGACTCAGTGGACTAAATGTTAAGAACCATGTATGTAGGGCATTCTGGAAAAGACAAAACCACAGCAGCTGAAGACAAATTAGAGGTAGCCAGGGCCACAGAATAAGAAAGAGTTATGTGAAGGGGTGAGGGCAGAGAATTAGGAGCAGGCTAGGACTGTCCTGATGTCTTGATTGTGCTGGTGTTTACAGGATTGCTGTGTTTGCCAACACACATAGAATGTATGATAAAAAGAAGTAGGTTTACAATATGGAGAGAACATGTCAATAAATCTGACAGTAAAGCTGGGTGGTGGTGGCGCACACCTTTAATCCCAGCACTTGGGAGGCAGAGGCAGGTGGATCTCTGTGAGTTCGAGACCAGCCTGGTCTACAGAGCTAGTTCTAAGACAGGCTCCAAAACCACAGAGAAACCAAAAAGAAAAAAGAAAAAAAACCTGACAGTAAAAAGCAGAAGAGAGAGAGAGAGAGAGAGAGAGAGAGAGAGAGAGAGAGAGAGAGAGTCTGTGTGTGTGTCTGTGTGTGTGTTGGGGAGGCAAGATAAAATTCTTCAGTCCCCTCTTCTCTGCCTGACTCTCTGTCTCCAGGGAGCTTCACACCCCTGGTACGCTTTTGACTCCCACTTCCAACTCTCCAGGAGAGTGATTTAGATACACAGAAGGCTCGGGACTTCTTTTTAAGGGATGCAGACTCATCCAGCCTTGGTCCTCACTCATTGCTCAGCCTGGATGCACAGAACTGACTCAAGGTTCCATCTTGGGTGTGCCACCCACATCCACCCCCCCCCCCGTCCTCCCTCTCTCTCTCTCTCTCTCTCTCTCTCTCTCTCTCTCTCTCTCACACACACACACACACACACACACACACACACACCACAGCCAGCTGTATAAAGGCAAATGCAGGAGCTAATGTGATCCTACCCTGACCTCCTGGACAGCAATTGCAGCCACACTCTGCCGTCCTCAGGCAGCAACCTCTGGGCTACATGGGAGGAAGAGTGGGGCTGGGAAGCCTAGGCAGTCAGCAAGACTGGTTTTGTACAGCCAAATTCTAAGTAAGCCAAGTTCAAAGCTTGAGGGAACCTGGCAGGCTTTCCTTCCACCTGCCAGCAGCAGCTGAATGGGGCAAGAAAAACCACTGGAAACTCAGCATTTCCAGGACAAGATAGCATCCTGCCCTCGCCTGTGCTCTCACGCCTTGTCACTGCCATCACACTCAGGTGAAGTGTAGGAGGAATCACACACAAAACAACCCAACCCCCCCTTAAAAAACATTGTGTTTCCTGTTAGACGTGAAGCAGTCTGGCCTAGTCTGTTTGTTGCCTGGGGTACCTGTCCAAGCCTCTGGAGGTTGCTAAGGAAGCAGTAGGAAAATAAAAAGGTGAGGTGGGAAAGCAAAAAGTGAGGGGGGGAAGTGGATGCTGGGGTTTGCAGCTGGAGCACTTTGGCCCAGCCACAGTTTGGGAAGGGAGAAAAGGAAGGGCTCCTTGGGGGGGGGGGCACACCAGCTTCTACCCACCCTAGGAAGGCCCTGAATAAATCAGGACTGTGTTGTGAGCCTCCTTGGGGTGGGGTGAGGCTCAGCACAAGGTCCCAAGTCCCTCTCTACCACAAAGCTGCATGGTAACAATTCCCTTACAAGATCTGCTTGCTATGTGCTAGGCAAACTCTGTAGGTGTGACTACAAACTCAAGTCTCTACCATCGACCTCTTCTTGTGAGTAAGGAACGGATAAATGAGGGGTTAGCATGTTCCCTTCTTGGGAGAAAAGGAGTGTGAAACTGGAAATAATAAATTCAAGGAGCTCCCTGTCCCGCTTGAGACTGAGCTTCAAGTAATCCAGGCTAGCTTAGAAGACCTGTGTAGCTGAAAATGGAGAATGACTAAAATTCGGATCCCCCTGCCTCCACTGCCCAAGACCATCGTGGCTAGTGTATGGGGCCCAGTAGATACAATCCAGTGCCTCAGGTTTGCTAAGCAAGGCTCTCTACCAACTAAGCTACACCTCGAGTTCCAGAAGTTTATTATTTTTAATGTGTAGGCGTTTTATTGACAGCTCCACTTAGCCTATTCCATTTGTCATACGATTGTACCAGCGTGGATGCTGCAGGATCTAGATGCCGAGGTGAAGTGCCACAGGCTCGACTCAGGTTTCCGGCACAG